TGTCTTGCAGAGTAAGTTTGTTCATTTAAAATAGGAATATATTCATAAGGAGTGGCACTGAAAAGACTCGTTTCTGTAAGACCTCACTGGTTTGGACAAAATTCACATTCCATATGCATAGATTTAAAAAAAACAGCCCACCACATTTAAGTAGCAGAAGTTTTATGTGCAGTATCACTTTGAGACAGATATGGAAAGAAGGTGTGTTTGGGGTTTGGGGAGGGTGTTGGCCAAACTTCTAAAGAAGCAATGGTAGAGAAGTAGTAAAGCATGCCGACTTAATGAAAAATAGTCTGCCATTCAGTTAGGAGGCTGTAATCGGATGTATTTAGATGTCATGTTTTCCATCTGAATGAAAGTAACCTCTGCTCTTAATTCCCAGCACTCAGCGTGTGTGCATTCGTTTGTTTTGAAACACTCAACAAACTTCCTGTAACTTTCTTGTAGCCACCATATCCAGGTATGGAGCAGCCACCACATCACCCTTACTATCAGCACCATGCACCTCCACCTCAAGCTCACCCTCCATACTCAGGACATCATCCTGTACCACATGAAGCAAGATACAGAGACAAACGAGTAGTAAGTGTCCGCAGAGACAAAGGGGTGCACAAGTCTGAAGGCTGGAGTAGGAGTGGGAGGAACTTGGGGTACAGATGTAGCCTAATCTGAGATTTGTTGACTTTGATCAACTGCATTTTTAAGACCTGTATTAGTTTTCCTTGGAAAGATCAGTTATTTAGATTGACTAGAGACTTCCAGCATCTTTGAAAAGCCTCTCTCTCCCAGGTGAAGAAGTGCAAAATTCTCAGAACATACTCTTAAACTGAGGTGTGTGCTTAAAATGGCTTCCAGCTGTCTAGCTCTGAAACTTTGATGCTGAAGCCCAGTTTGATTCGGGACATGCCTGTAACATTGCTTGCGCTTATGCACAACAAATTACTTTATCAGCAGAAAAGTTTGTGGTTTGTAACTTTTTACAGGCACATCAAAAAACAGGGCAGGTTGTTAAATAATTTCTTAGCTGGCTTTGAAGGCTGCTTAGCTTTCAGATCTCTTGCTGGTATCTGGCATTTGAACCCCAGCTTCTGCACAGTGGAAGCACAGACATGGTGCTGTCCAGAAGATGAAAGAAGAAACTTGTGCTTATGGATGCTGGACATAAAATTTTTTTTTTTTTTTTAAATACTGGGCTTTCCAAGAGTTATGACCAATGCTATGGGTAAGGGAAGGGAGGGGATTTTAATCTGGGAAAGAAAAGAAACAAAGCTGTCCTTTCATCACAGCACGACTACGACATGAGAGTAGACGACTTTCTTCGCCGCACACAAGCAGTTGTCAGCGGTCGGAGAAGCAGGCCTCGGGAGAGGGACCGAGAGCGGGAACGAGACCGTCCTAGAGATAATAGAAGAGAGAGAGAACGTGACAGAGGCCGTGATCGAGAAAGGGAGAGAGAGAGGATTTGTGACCGGGACAGAGACAGAGGTGAAAGAGGTAGATACCGAAGATAATCTATCTGGAACCAGTGCTCACTTGAAACAAAAAAAGCTTGTATTTTTTTGTGTGTTTACAAGTAGTACATTTTATTTTCAGCTGTCTACTTAAAGTTCATTGTGTAGAAGGATTTATAATGACCCTCTCTATTCCAAGCATGCAGTGAACTATGAACTGGAAAAACTCAAATCAGCCAAAAATAAAATACGCAAAGCTGACACTCAACTTGGCGTTTCTATTGGAGCAGAATGGGAAACAGCTAAGAATGTAGATATTGATTAATTCTCAATAAGTGTTCATCTACTTAGTGACTTCATTCTAGGTTTTTGAATACTGATAGATAACTGCCTTTTTTTTTTTTTTTGCTTTTATGTTTTCTTCCTGTAGTTTCACATGGTTCAGTGGGAGAATGCTGCTATCAAGTATGCAAATATTGAAGTATGATTTTTTTTTGACTGTATGGCAGTGTTGTAGCAGCCTTTTTTCCCTCCCCGCCATCCCGTTTTTTAACCCTATCTGTAAAGTCAAGTGTTTTTTCAGTCTTCAGTAATGAAAGCAATATTAAGAAGACACTATTGATATCTAATTTTTAACCTTTTTTAAAAATCTTCCTGTGTTCAGTAACATTTTGGTCAATTCTCTTGTCTAGCCTCCTTCAAAAATGTACACATTGCTTGGAATGTTCATAACCTGCGTGTGTGGAACCAGAAAATATTGCTGTATTCTACATTGCTACCTTTTTTTTTTTTTTTTTTTTTTTATAAAAATAAATTGGTAACTATTGAAATGATTCAAACTCCAGATCGGGTTTCTTGGTCTTCTAAGCTTGCCAGCTTTGATAGATTCTGGCAGTTCTAGGAAAGTATTTGTGTTCAAAAATAGTTTAAGGGTTCTTGTGATAGGTGAAATTGATCCGAAGCCTGAATTTAGGAAAAGGATTGCTGAAATAAAAGGTATTTGCTTTTCTGTTTCCACAGTGAAGTAGTCAACTTACAGCTCCTGCAGCTAATCAGAGTTATTAAGGCCCTACATGTTCAACTTAATCAAATGATCTTCGAGCTATTGATAGGCTGTCCTCAGCCATAATCATACCTGTCTCCCAGGAGTGTGTTAGTCCTGCAAGATCCAGATTCTCCCCATGTCTTCTTTGTAGTGATTACTGCATCACTTGTTATTTCTCTTAAATAGGAAATAGTTGAATCTAAATACCAATGGTAAAACTGTGAAAAAAGAAAAGTAAAACTTGTAGTGGAAGTTGTTCAGTTTCTCCAGCAATTTCCTAGTTCTCAAAACTTGCATGAGTAGCACTGACTTCATAACCTTTCTTCAGTGTCTTCTCATGTAACAAAGCCAGATTGTAGCATGTGCTTTAAAGACCTCCAACTCCACAGTGCTCAGTCCTGTAGCTGTTTTTACAGATTGCAATATAGGATTGGCCATGATGTGGCAGTTGTGGAAACACATGGTTTTCAGATCTGACAATTAGGGCTCTGTGTATTTTAGTCGACACAGCTATAGTAGACATCTATATGTGCTAAGCAAGAAGTTTGACCTCCAACATGCAAGTATGTTGGGATTTTTTAACCACTACAAGAAGTTGAACGTATGTTTGGGTTCCTCAAAACAGTGTACTGTGCATTGAGAGGTATGCCTGTTAGCAGTAGGATTACATCAGTCTATCAAATTTAGTACACATACTGTGTCTAATTGGAGAAATGCATCATAGACCACCTTCATTCTTTGATATCTTTCTCTGCTTTATATACAGATTCTAGAAAGAAGAGGGGGTTTTGGTTCTGGTCGGTCTTCTTTTTTACCTTTTGAATTCAATACTAGATAAGCCAAATTTCTCTGAGTAAGTTACAGAAAAGGAGCACCTCCTTAAAGTGACTGCAGAGCACTTTCTCTGTCCACCTTTTCCCAGCTATCCTGTTTCCCGTGTCCTTTGTTAGCCCTATCTGACCAGTGTCTACGCAGTATGCTAGGAGGCTTGCTGGCCTTCTGGCAACCAAACTGACATCTTAGCAAATCTTTTACTTGCAGAAGCTGGATGATGGGGGCTCTCAGTGATCAAGCTTGGTGGAGCTGTGCCTAGGGACCCAGCTCTATGAACAGTTACAGCAAAACTTTTCAGATCTGGGGCCTGAATGTCATGCTGTTCCACTTTCTGTTACTATGCATATTTCAACATGCATATTCCTGCATATGATCCCATCATGACCATAGGAACAGAAGTTACCATGAGAAGCACTAGTCTTTTTCTAACCTCTCTTTAGTTTGGAAACAATTCATTTGAGCTTTTGTAAATGTTGTAGTATGAAGAGATCTAAGCAGACATTGAAACTATTGACAATGCTAATAATGTAGGGAATTTTATTATGCGAACAAATGTAACATGTTTTCTCAGCGTGTTCTGTTTGAAAACAATTCTGCAGCATCCAGAATACAGCAAATGTCAGTTAAAATTGGGGCAGGTTCTTTCTTGCGTAAGCTGGCACAGCAGTGGAATAACCTTAGCTAGAACAGGAGGCCTGAACTAGCATCATTTTAGTAGGCATTCATTAGTAAGTGCACCTTGAACAGTTTCAGGAGTGCTGCATTTACTGCCACTCTTACCTGAGCCAAGAGCAGCATTATTTTCCCTCCAACTTTTCAGGCACGGCAAGTGACTATTGCACTGTTCCCACATGTAGTGTTACTTCTTTGCAAGTTCCATCTCTAGAGGTTTTCCTGCATTTATCAGTTAGCATGGCTCAGAGGCACTTGGGGGTTAAGATGGGCAAGTTAACTGACAGAGGTGGTTTTCACACCCCTGTAGTGTTGCAGTTAGAATGATGGCTTATGCAGGACTCCGGGCATATACTGAATAGAAAAGAGAAATGGTTCTCAGGAAAGTAATTTCTCTGCTGGTTTTAGGACTCTGGTCTCCCCTCAGCCCCCAAGTAGTCAGTGCATTTTTACAAAATGTGATGATACAGGCTTCACCAGCTACTTGCAGCTCCCTGTTTTTCATGATCTTGGCCATTCAGATGGGTGCTTTTTAGGAGCCTGTGATGTTAGCTTCACTGTGCAATCTGGAGAGAGCTATTTTGATAGGAGAGGCATTTTGGTTGTTAATCATCAAGCCTGGGTGACATTATAGGAGAGGACAGAATTAAGGTAAGGAGACTAGTTGCAGATTGGGGGACCCACAGTACCACGCAAGGGAAGGCTGAGTTTATGAAATATACCAAAATGAATTTGAAAAGTTAGACCAGCAATTACCATTCTAGGGACTGTGTGTGATCAGCTAACAGGGTCCCACGGGATAAAGCAACTATAATTCAATCTTATTTAGGCCAGAAGGAATTTGCTGCAGCTCTGCAGCTAAGCAAGCAGCTCTGCCCCACAACAGCTTTTTAGCATGACCCAGTTCAGCATGGTGCTTCCTGATATGCCCAGCTTAAAGCACATCCTAATAATTTTATTCACCGAGGAAGGTGCATAAATGCCTTGCTGAATCAGCCTAGGAGAAGAAAAAGTGCTGATGGGAACAGGATGTCTATTCTTTCTTCCTCTTTGTAATCCTGCCACATCTCCTACAGCAAAATAAGCAGCACTTAACAAGAATGAAGACAGCAATGGCTGCACAGGTGAACAAGAATGCCAGAACATCCAGGCAGTGGTACTGGTACCAGGTGAGATGGTGAGCAGCTGGTCTCAAGTGCTTTGCTCCTTTGTGACGCATGACAAATTCAATCCAGAAGACAGCTCTGTCCAGAGGCTTAACTGGCTGGTCATGGTGTATCTTGGATAACCTTAGAGCATTTTCCTTATAGCTGGGGAAAAAAAGAAGAAACCAAGGAGATTTGATTCCTGAAACAACCCATTCAGCGCCTGGCAATCCTCTTGAGGAAGGTACAAAGCCCTGCTTTTAGTTTCATTGATGTTATTTAAATATATTTGAAACTGGCCCAATTTACTCCTATTTGCATAAAATTGGGTTATGAACAGTAATAGAAAAAGCCAATCTTTGCAAAGAAAAGTTACTCAAAATTATTCCAGATACTCCTTTAAAAAAAGCAACATTTGCAGCATTTTCTGTTCCCATATAATATAATGTGCTGATTTTGGCTGGGATAGAGTTAATTTTCTTCACAGTAGCTAGTATGGGGCTATGTTTTGGATTTGTGCTGGAAACAGTGTTGATAACACAGGGATGTTTTCATTATTGCTGAGCAGTGCTTGCACAGCATCAAGGCCATTTCTGCTTCTCACCCCACCCCACCAGCGAGTAGGCTGGGGGTGCACGAGAAGTTGGAAGGAGACAGAGCTGGGACAGCTGACCCCAATTGACCAAAGGGATATTCCATACCATATGACATCATGCTCAGCAATAAAACTAAAGGGGAGGTTGGCAGGGAGGGCATGTGCACCAGATTTCATCAACCTCTTTGGATACCTGGTCATCATCCAGGTTGTTACAGATCACTTCCACCACAGCTAATTCCCTCAGATTCTGGATACCTCCATCAATGTTGGTCAATTTGCTTCGGTAATTTGCAGGTTCTTTCTTGAAGGGATACCTGTCCTTCACACTTGACAGGAGTCACTGCCAAAGACAGAGGACTCCTGCCTTTTTTCCAATCCCTTTGTCAATGGCCTTATCCTTAGCAAGGGATCCCAGCTGCTGGACTTCCTTACCGTCTGATTCCTGACTGATAGGTACAGTAACCTAAGGATGTTGGTAACTCAGCGGTAAGAGAAAGAATTGTGGCTACAGACAGAGTAGACATAATACAACTAGAATTGTCACCCAGAGCCTCCAGAGGATTTATACTAGCAGAGAACAAGAAAGAGAGAGCGAGCAGAAAACTGTCTCGGGAGCTGCTCTGGGCTTTCCAAGAACTACTTTTCTCAAAGGGATCGTAACATGTAGTATAAGGAAAATCAAATTACTGATCTCTCCTTTCTGAGAAATGCTCATTCTCAGAAATGAAAGATAGTTTTCACCTGAAACCCAAACTCCAGCTACTCAGTATTTTTGGTTCCCACAAGAGGCAGCAGAATTTCTCACATCAGCAGCCCAAGATTTTAATAACCTCATCCTACTGTCAGGCAAGAACAAAACTCACGTGGAATTGTTAATGACTGTATTCAGTGCATCAATTAGGTCCTGTGCCTTCAGTGTGCTGAAATCCACCTCAACTGCAGCTCCCTTTGCCTTCATGTGAGCAATGTTGTCAGGCTGGTCAGCAAACATGGGAATCCCAACCATCGGGATCCCATGGTAGATAGCTTCATAGATCCCATTGGTCCCACCATGAGTAATAAAGGCCTTCGTCAAGGGATGGCCTGGAACAGGGAAGAAGAGGCACATGTAACAGCAGTTGTGGCAGACTGCGTTCACTGGGACGTGAGCACTGCAGACTACTCAGGCAAATGCACTGCTAGAGAAGAGAACAGCCTTGACCTCTGGATCAGCATCAGAGCTTGCACGCTTAGCTTTCACACATTCATATTTAATGCAATAGGTGAATCAGCATGTTCTCCAGACTACCCCAGAGTTACTTCAGCTCTTTTGCTGTTGTGCAGTTCTAGTTTTTACATGCTATCAGGTTCACAACAGCTCCCTGCTGCAGCCTTGCTTAGGTCAAGCATTTTGAAGAATGAGCCCTGGAAATGAACTGCAGAGGCCAAATCCAGCTCCAGAGCACGTGTCTACTTTGATATTTACTCCTGCCTACAGGTGGTTCTTAGCCCTTCCAGACAATTGCCACCGAACTCTGTAAGAGGCTTTTGCTTTAGAGATCCATCTTTATAGCTAAGCTCAAGTTGCTGCCGCCTTGAGCCACTGCTCCCTACTCCCTTCACAGCCTGTCTCTATCTTCCATGGTTCTTGTATAGCCATTCACCTTAAAGTCAAAAGCAGGCTAGAAAATTAAGGCTCCAAGAGCAAACCTCTGCTGCTTAAGCTGCGAAACTAATTGTAGCCCCAAGTGTTACGTGGTTCTTCTGCCTGAATAAGCCATTTTAGTGGAAAAACAAGGAAACAGTTTTTCCAAAGGCGCGATGAATCCCAGATAAAATCAGTCTCACCAAGCAGGTCATTTTGGGGTATCCAGTCATAAATCCTGGTGTTGGAGCCCAGAGTTTCTGGTTTTTTCCCTTTGTACCGCCAGAGGACCTTGAACAAAGGACGAGTAAGATAAACATAGTGCATGTGACATGCCCTGTATTACTACATGTAATGTAGGGGTTTTTCTCAAACCCGTGTACCTTTTCCCAGTAATTCTAATAGCTTTGGCTTCAGCTCTTTGATTAGTTATTAATGTGCTTATTATAAAAATCACAGAGAGTGAGTTTTATATTGTGTCCTATGGACACACTTCCACATCATTTGGTTCAGGAGGGGGAAACACCAGAACTCCCCATGAGGTGACTCAGCAGTCTGCCTTTCTGCAGAGCCCAGCTTCCCGGCTGTGGCACATCCAGCAGAGATGCAGATAAAAACCAGGCCAGTCGAAACATAAAAGGCTCGCTGAAGGCAACAGAAGTGACAAAAAACAAGGCAAGTTGTTTTAGACTCGAAAGGAAATTCACCTTTTGTGGAAGCTGGCTGAGGGCTCTGCCAATCACATTACTTTTTTCATCAGTTAGGTTGTCGACCATCGACCCGAGAGAGAATACCACGATGCCGTGTTCCCCTGAGCTCTGAACAAATTCTTCCATTTCCTAGGAGAGGCAGAAGACATACTAAGAGTAATTATGCACTGCAGATTACACAGATTTCTGTGAACAGAGAGCATAACCTTTTTAGCTTACCAAGGAGATGATCGTGGTGTATGAGCACCTCCAGTGACAGGAGGGCATTACAGAGATGGACCTGGCTCTGTGCAAAAAGACAGTTTCTCCCCAAGAAGGAGCAGGACGAGTTGAGACAGGTGACAGAAGCTTTGTCTTTTTGAAAGCGAGTCAAGCAGTTTCAGGGCATATTTATTTGAATGGATCCTGGCACTGGCCTGAGAGGGCCATACCCTGTGACACCTTCCCTAGCATATTCAGTCATGGTTCTGGATTTTCCTGGAACAAGCACTTTGTATTTCATAGCTCTGCAGGAAGGGACAGTGCTGAAAACTCAGGGTTTTTCAGCATCCTGATCAGAGATTCATCTGATGCTGCTGTCACTTTGTTAGTTAGCCAGTTCTCTATTTCTTGCAATACAGCACATTGCTAAACAGATTTTCCACAAATCAGACCAATAGGTCTTCCTGTTCCTTTTTTTAGTTAGTGTCATGTGAAATGGAGCAATAACATCCAGAAGAGAATGGTTATCCATTTCCCCCAGCTCAACCCCTGCTACAGGGGAGTGGGAAGAGAGTTAGAAGGTTTCTTTTAGTAGACAACTTGCACTGAAAATACCCTACCTCCTCTAAGGCTCCTACAGGAGTGATAATCTAGACCAGAGCTTGTCATATTGCCGTCATGAGTATCTGGGAGTTTCAAATTCCACCTGAATATTGCCAGTCACAGCAGAGCGTAGGCTGGAGATGCTGAGTATTTTACTCCCTTTAAAATGTCTTAAACTAAGCAACAATAGAAAAAGTGTTTATCACTGGTCTCTTTCTGCAAGTCTTGACTCCATTTTGTCTAAAGAATTTGTCCCATCACAGTGCCTTTTTGCATCAGGTATTTCATCATGTTATCATGGGCTGCAAGTCTGTATCTTAGAATTAAATTTTAACTACTCTGAGGTAGCACCTATTTTTCCTAAAACAAACACCGTATTCCCTCCTGCTGACTTCAGCTGTCATCTTTTAAGACAGCAGGCTGTAAACCCAGTGCTCAGTTTGCACAAGTACGGACAGATTGCTAAATAGCTCTGAGCTCCTCACCAGCAACAGAGCATCTTCTTTAAGAATGAGCTTTCTCAGGACATGGCTTGCACGGCTGATCAGGGAGAGAAACAGTTTTTGTTCTGCTGGGCAAACAGCAGCACAAAGTTGGGATACCTTTGGTAACGGCTTTGCAGGCTGGCAATGAAGTCCTCCAACGAACTCAAAGTTGGGCAGGAAAGGGCGTGGAAATTCAATATCCCAGTATGTTCTGATTAGCCATATCTCTGCTTTCCCCATCGTCTCACACAGGGTTGTGGGCCTTCCTATGGACAAGGTACAAGGGGTTTACAATGCGCACGGGAGCGGTCTTGTTTGCTGTAGATTGCGAAATAGGAGCTTTACCTTTGTCTTTTGACACTCCCAATTAGTGCAGTCTATCAAATCATGCATGAAATGAAAACATGGACAAATCCAGACCTATTCCTTGCCCTGTCTTGTGTTTGGCCTTGGCAGGTTGCCATGAACAAGACAATATGATCTTTAACAGGATTTTGAACCTTCAGGATGAATTTAGAGTACAAGGGTAAGTGGGAAGCATTTAGTTTTTGTGATGCAGAAGTGCAATTCTTGTACCGCTGAAAGACTTCATTACCTGTGCTTGTCATAAAAACGCTCTTTGGGGAAGAGAACAATCACAGAAAATTTAGTTCCAAATAAAAAATAAATGAATCGCAAAGTAATGATCACCAGTCAGGGAGGAGGAAAGTTTTTAAACAAAATTCCATGGCATTTTTCAAATGGTGACTCAGTCAGTGGCTGCTCAGACTCCAATAAAAGAGAGGAACAGCCATCCCTAGTTCTCTTGGGGACTGGGTCAGCTCCTTCTGACACATATTGGGAAAATTTGGCCAAATCCGTAGATGTTTTGAATGTTATTTTATGCAAAATCCAGTGTCTCTAGGAATCCATCTATAGAAAAAAATCCAATGGATAAAACTGTTTTACAGCTTCCCATTTGGAAAAATATATATTCTCAGGTACATGTTGCAAGTTGTCTTTGCAGTATTTTCCCCACAAGGTGGAACTGGGGAGTAAAAGAATTAGAAGTGTTGGTAAATGACTGTCAAAAGCCAGCCTAATGCAAGCAGGAACAAAGCAAGATAAGCAGCAAGATAAAAATTATCTGTAGGGCATCTTCTTACACTACTTGATCAGTGTTACAATTTACATCAGCAATTTTTTTTAATCTTTTTAA